GGGTGGGTGGGTGGAGGGATGGAGATGGACAGATCAGGAGTGTGATGAGCTAGGAAGTGGAGGTAAATTGAAAGGTTAAAATTGGCCCTGCATTACTGCTCCCCAGCACACCACACCTTGAATTACTAAAAAGGAGGCCTCTGTGTGCCATGCCCTGTGCATCCCCTTTCACACCACTCCATTAATGGTCCCAACAACACTGTTGAGCTGGGGTAACTCCACCTGACAGCTGAGAAAACAATGCAAGTCACTTGCTCAAGGACACAGCAAGTCAGCAAAGCTGGGGTTTGAACCCATCCTGCCAGAGGCACTTGGTACCTAGTGCTCTTGCCACAGCAGCAGAGCCCTCTAAGGGAGGAGGTGTGATCTGAGGCTCCTGGATGTGGACAGACAGACACTGCCCCTCAGAGTGGGCCTGCCTGGGAAAGAAGCTGGTATGGGGTGGGACTCCACACTTGTCCCCATCTGCACTCTTCCCTTCCCCCCTCCCCCACCACGTGACATTCAAAACCAGGAGGATGGTGTCCGGTCCCAGCAGTCTTGGTTACAGTTGGCTTTAACCCAGCCACCACCCCCCCAGCAGCTTTGGGGGTCTGGCGATCTAGAGAAATGCCCCCCACCAGTCCTCCATCCACACCTTCTCCAGCCTTGGGGGGCAGGGAGGGGACAGCGCTGCATCATTCCCCGTGGCACTCCGCTCTAAGGCCATTAACAGACGCCTCCCCATCGATCGCATCTGCTAAGTGCTGCTGATTCAGACGGGTGGGGGTGGGGTCCCCTAGGGGCAGGGGGGGTAGGAGCTGGGCAGGGAGAGGGGGAGTCCAGGAAGGAGGTGGGGAGAACTGGCAAAGCTCCCTACCACCCCCATTTTCCAGATGACGCGACTGAGGCCCAACCAGCTTTATAGGAGGCGGAGTCTCCCCAGGGTCCCTCTCAGGCGGTCCTAGGGGAGGGGGCTCTGGGAGCCACGAGGCCCCTCCCTGCCTCGCCATCTCCCGGCAAGCTCAGAGGGGCGGGGAGAGAGAGCCAGAGGAGGAGGAGAACTCGGGCAGCTCTGCAGAGGGGGGCAGGAGCTCCGGTGTTTGGTACCCCCCAGCCCCTCCGCTGTTGCCGTTTGCTGCAGTGGGGACACAGGTGAGGTCGCCCTGTGGGTCGTGGGAGGGGGCCACTAACAGCGCTGTCCTTGCCCTTCCCTGGTCCAGCTCCCACGCCCTAGCCCATCCTGGGACAGTCCCCCTGGGTCCTGCTGGACCTCGTCCTTGCAGAGCCTCCTTCCAGGGACCCAGCCCCCTCCCCTGTCTGTGCTGCCTTCTCTCCCAGGCCTGGCTGTGGCTGCTTCTCCTCCTCCTGCAGCCGCTGCTGCTACTGCTGCTGCCCAGCGCACACCACCAGCCCCTCGGAGTGTGGTTTCCCCAGACCAGCCCCCAATAGTGGGACGCAGCCTTCTTTTGGCTTCCCTCATCAGCCTCCTGCAAGGCCCAGCAGCCCCCCTTCCTGGAGACACACCCAACTCCCTTTCAATATCCCACTCCAATTTCCAACCCGTTTTGGGGAGAACCCCCTTTTCTTAGTCTTTTTCAATCCTCTGGGTCTATGTCCAACTTCCTTCCAATTGAGCCCAGCCCCTTGGGGTTCCCTGGGTCCCTTTCCTGTCCCTGGAACTCCTGAGAGTGGAGCAGGCTTTCTCAGTCCCCCAAGATACCCCTCTCCCCGAGACACCCCTCAGCCTCTGAAAAATAACCTTGCCCTTTCTCTACCCCGTTGGACACCCCACTCCCTTCTCCAACCTCACTAGGAGCCCCACCTCTCCTTCCTTCCCCAAACTCCTGTAGAATGTAGACACCCCCCTCAGGCTATTCTTGGCAGCTCTAGGCACTCCCAAGACACCTCTCAGCCTCTTTACAACCTCCTGGCTCTACAGACATCCCTCAGGTGCACCAACCCCTTTCCTAGATCCAAGAAGGGATTTCAACCCCCTTATCTTTTCCCAGAAGTCTTCAGGGTGTGGACCACCATCCTCACTTTTCTTACCACCACCCCCTAGCCTAGAACTCCCCTCAGGACCCTGATCTCAGCCTCTTCAAACACTTCTGGTCCTATTTCTACCCCCGAGAATGCCCCAATCCCCTCTCCAACGCAGCTAAAGAGGTCTAGCCCCTTCTTCCATCAGAACTGAGTGTAGACAGCTCCCGTGTTTCTTGCCCCCACTGGATACCCTCAGATATCTCAGGCACACGCTGACCCCTCTAGAATCATCTGTCTCTAAACGCTCCCTCAGATCCTTCTCTGTCCCTCCAGACGTCCCTTCTCTGCTTTCTATGTCCCCTAGCCCCTTCTCAGTCCCTCAAGACATCCGGTTCCTCCCAGGCCCTCTAAATGCCCTCCAAGCCCCTGCCCCTGTCTCTAGTTCTTCCTCCAGTTTCCTCTTGGCCTCTCTAGACATCCCCAGTTTCCTTGTGTGAGTGGCCCCGGGCCCCTCCAAGCCCCCACCATCCTGGAGACAGCCACATTCTCCTAAAGGCCAGCCCCCCAAGTTTCCGAGGGCCTGGGGCGCAGCAGGATGGCGGCAGGCGTGGCCACGTGGCTGCCCTTTGCGCGGGCGGCTGCGGTGGGCTGGCTGCCCCTGGCCCAGCAGCCCCTGCCCCCAGCGCCAGGGGTGAAGGCCTCTCGAGGGGATGAGGTTCTGGTGGTGAACGTGAGCGGACGGCGCTTTGAGACCTGGAAGAACACGCTGGACCGCTACCCGGATACCCTGCTGGGCAGTTCGGAGAAGGAGTTCTTCTACGATGCTGACTCGGGCGAGTACTTCTTCGATCGCGATCCGGACATGTTCCGGCACGTGCTCAACTTCTACCGCACCGGCCGCCTGCACTGCCCGCGGCAGGAGTGCATCCAGGCCTTCGATGAAGAGCTGGCCTTCTACGGCCTGGTGCCTGAGCTCGTTGGGGACTGCTGCCTGGAGGAGTACCGGGACCGGAAGAAGGAGAATGCGGAGCGTCTGGCGGAGGATGAGGAGGCCGAGCAGGCCGCCGAAGGGCCAGCCTTGCGGGCCGGCAGCTCCCTGCGCCAGAGGCTCTGGCGAGCCTTCGAGAACCCACACACTAGTACCGCGGCCCTCGTGTTCTACTACGTGACCGGCTTCTTCATCGCCGTGTCAGTCATCGCCAACGTGGTCGAGACCATCCCGTGCCGAGGCCCCACCCGGCGGTCCCCCCCCAGGGAGCATTCGTGTGGGGAACGCTTCCCGACGGCCTTTTTCTGCATGGACACGGCCTGCGTGCTCATTTTTACGGGTGAATACCTCCTGCGGCTCTTTGCTGCCCCCAGCCGCTGCCGCTTCCTACGGAGTGTAATGAGCCTCATAGACGTGGTGGCCATCCTACCCTATTACATCGGCCTTTTCGTGCCCAAGAACGAGGACGTGTCTGGCGCCTTTGTCACGCTTCGCGTGTTCCGGGTGTTCCGCATCTTCAAGTTTTCCCGGCACTCACAGGGCTTGCGAATTCTGGGCTACACACTCAAGAGCTGTGCTTCTGAGCTGGGCTTCCTCCTCTTTTCCCTCACCATGGCCATCATCATCTTCGCCACTGTCATGTTTTATGCTGAGAAGGGCACAAAGAAGACTAACTTTACTAGCATCCCCGCAGCCTTCTGGTATACCATTGTCACCATGACCACACTTGGGTGAGTGCAGACCCTGTGTTGGGAGCTGCCCGATTAGTCAGTTACACTCACCTTTTCTGTAAAAGGAGGTTAGGTAAATGATCTGTTTGAGCTTCAGTTTGCTCGTCTGTAGAAACTGAGGGAGTTGGACTCATCTTCAAATCCCACCCAGCTTTGACAATGACTTGGGTTCAAGGATTGTCTTAGCTGTACTCTTTCTGTTGACCTTGTGTTCTCTGGGCCTGTTTCCCCTCTGTAACATGAGAAGATGATCCCTTTTGAGGGGCTTTACGGACATCATGCTTGTGAAAGTTTCTGGTACAGGGATAAATAGGTATTGGTTTTGTATCACCCCCTTTTCCATCTTGAGGACCACAAACTCCCAAACCTCTACAAGCATAGTGTGGGACACTACTTCTGTGGCTCTCCAGAATAAGATATTTTCAGCATCATTTTTTTTTACTGACAATCCTTGAAAGAAAATAGTTGGGCTAAAAACATCAAATGGAAACACGAAACTCATGTTGTTCTTGAAGACATTGTCTAGGGCAGAGACTGTGAGCCTGTCCTAATTTCTGTCATCGGGATTAGGTATATACAGTATCTGTTGAAGGGATGGATTGAGCTTGCTCAGGGATTTAATAGAGGTATAGAAAAGTTGATTTGAGGTTTCTAAAATGTAGAAATTAATTCTGGTTGGAGGTTCAGAATTAGGTCGAGAAACAAATAATGAGCCTTGAAAATGGATTGGAACTGAGTATTTTGATGCCTTTTACCCTGTTTAGTCTTTTGGGTTTTTTTTTACCCTATTTAGTCTTCACAGCAACCCTGGGTGGGTAGAGAGCTGCCCACGTCTCCTAGTTGAGGATACAGTCTGAGTTGACACATCACAGAGCCAGAAATGCCCAAGTTGGAGAGACTTGTAAATAAGTCAAAATAAAATAAACAAATGAGTCAAATAAAGAAATAAGGAAGAGTCATGAGGGATGGGGCACAGCTTGAGCAAAGGCTTAGAGGCTTAAGACTGCAGAGGCTGCACTTTTGTGGAGGGAGTCTGATTGGTCCTGTGGTTAGGACAAAAGGATGCTGTGTGATCTTGAGCAAGTCAGTTATGGGACCTCCCTAACTTTGGTTTGCACTCCCTCTGTAAGACAAGGTGGTAATATTGGCTCTGCTCCATCTCCATGGGTAGGGGAGAAACATGTGAGGATAGTTTCGGGGTTTCCCTGGGGGAACAGGAAGCAGTCCTACCTAGAGAAGGTAAGACAAATTTAAGCAAAACCACCAGAGCATTGCTGCAGGGATTCAGAGCCCTTTAGCTGGCTGGTAGTGGTGGAACTCTCTCTCCATGAGGCCGTGTTTACTGCCTATAACTTCCTCCTTCTCCCCCATGCTGGGTATTAATAGATTTCCAACTGATTCAGATGCCTGCACAGCTAGCATGGAGGCAGCAGATGGTAGGGGCTGAGGCCCCATTTTCATTTGACCCCCACTGGTGGCCAGAAAGGTCATCCCTCATATTTTGCAGAGCGAGAAACTGAGGCTCAGAGAGTTGGAGTGCCTGGCCAAGGTCACAGAATGAGTTGGAATGAATGGGATGCAGTGGGGGACTGAGGGGTGGGTGGGAACTTTTCTTGACCTTGACTTACCTCCTCTGGCCCCAGATATGGAGACATGGTGCCCAGCACCATTGCTGGCAAGATTTTCGGATCCATCTGCTCACTCAGTGGTGTCCTGGTCATCGCTCTGCCTGTGCCAGTCATTGTTTCTAACTTCAGCCGCATCTACCACCAGAACCAGCGTGCTGATAAGCGCCGAGCACAGCAGGTAGATGCACCTTCCATCTCCTATTCCCCCCACCCCAAGCCAGTCAATCACCTCTTGTGTTTACCCACCTGACTCTTTCTCTCCTCTCTGTAGAAGGTGCGCTTAGCAAGGATCCGATTGGCAAAGAGTGGCACCACCAACGCCTTCCTGCAGTACAAGCAGAACAGGGGCCTTGAGGTGAGTAGGTCCCAGATTGGGGTTGGTCATGAGCAGTGATGGGAGGAGGAAGGTGCTGACCTCATTTGTCTGCTCCATCCACTCCAGGACAGCGGCAGTGGGGAGGAACAGGCCCTGTGTGTAAGGAACCGTTCTGCTTTTGAGAAACAACATCACCACTTGCTGCACTGTCTAGAGAAGACAACGGTGAGGCCTAAGGAGAAGTGGCATGGCAGAATGAAGGGGATCTCTCTGCCACCAAGCCAGCTCCCCCCTGTGGTCTTGGAGGCTCACTACTAATTGTGGAAATCATGCAGGGCTTCCTAGAAGAGGCCTGATAGAGCTGAGCCTTGAAGGGTGGGCAAGGGAAGGAAAGAGGAAGCAACTTCCAGAAAGGAGGGAAGGGCATAAGCAAAGGCTTGGTGGTGGCGGCAGCTCCTATGTGGTGCCTTCTGACCGTGCCTCCCTTCTTCCCACAGTGCCATGAGTTCACAGATGAGCTAACCTTCAACGAGGCTCTGGGTGCGGTCTCGCTGGGTGGCCGCACCAGCCGCAGCACTTCTGTGTCCTCCCAGCCAGTGGGGCCTGGCAGCCTGTTATCCTCTTGCTGCCCCCGCAGGGCCAAGCGCCGTGCCATCCGCCTTGCCAACTCCACTGCCTCGGTCAGCCGTGGAAGCATGCAGGAGCTGGATACTCTGGCGGGGCTGCGGAGGAGCCCTGTCCCTCAGAGGTAAGAAACCCCCACCCCCTGGCTATCCCTGAGGAAGCTCAGAGCTTAGACCAGAGGGTTTGAGATTTCATGACTTCAGGCCTAGCAAGTCAAGCTCAAACCCAAACTCCTCCATGCTGGGAACTTGGGCTTATCTTGTCTGGAACTCCTTGTTCTTCATTCATTCTCTTTTAAAAAAAAAAAAAATATTTTATTGATTTTTTACAGAGAGGAAGGGAGAGGGATAGAAAGTTAGAAACATCGATGAGAGAGAAACATCGATCAGCTGCTTCCTGCACACCCCCTACTGGGGATGTGCCCGCAGCCAAGGTACATGCCCTTGACCGGAATCAAACCTGGGAACTTTCAGTCCGCAGGCCGACGCTCTATCCACTGAGCCAAACCGGTTAGGGCTTCATTCATTCTCTTGTCATTTATTGAGCACCTACTATATGCCAGGCAGAGCTTTAGGCACTTTGGAGTTCACTTCAGGCAGAAATCCCTGACCTTCTGGAACTTATATTCTAGTGGGATGTGACCATTAATAAACAAATACACAGATGATGCAGTGTGTTAAGTGCCAAGGAGAAAAATAAATCAGGAATGGGGGACAGAGAGAGTAGAACAGGGTATGACGTAGTTTTAACCGTGTGGTTAGGGAAAGCTTTGCTGAGGTGATATCTGAGCCAAGACCTAAAGGAGGTGAAGGGGTGTGTCATGTGATATCTAGAGGAAGAGCTTTTCAGGCAGAGAAAACAGCCTGTGCAAAGACCACCGAAGCAGGACTAGGTCTGTGTCTCTAATAAGGAACCAGAAAACTACTGTGAGTAGAGTGGAGTGAGGGAGGGAGGGAGTGGTGGGAGGTAAAATCAGAAAGAAACAGGGACCAGATTATGTAGCTCTCTTACTGTACACTATTGTGAAGACTTAGGATTGTAAGGAGTCTATCATAATAGATGTTTTGTGTCTGTATGCCCATTGTGTTCCAGGCACTATTCCAGTGATGGCGAACCTCTGACACGTGTGTCAGAGGTGACACGTGAACTCATGTTTTTGGTTGATTTTTCTTTGTTAAATGCCATTTAAATATATAAAATAAATATCAAAAATATAAATCTTTGTTTTACTATGGTTGCAAATATCAAAAAATTTCTATATGTGACAGGGCACCAGAGTTAAGTTAGGGTTTTTCAAAATGCTGACACAACGAGCTCAAAAGGTTCGTCATCACTGGCCTATTCTGAGCACTTTGTATCATTTATTATCTCAATTAATGTTCACAAGAACCCTGTGAGATAGGAATACAACAGGTTCTTGAATAAAATCATTTTGTTCAATGTCGTTTTATTTTCTTGTCTTTGTTCTTTATAAATTACCATTTACATTCAGTATTATTTGTATTAGTTTCAGGTATACAGCATAGTGGTTAGACAATCATACTTTATAAAATGTTCCCACCAATATTTCCAGTACCCACCTGGTCCCATACATAATTATTAGAATATAATGACTGTATTCCCTATGCTGTACTTTATATCCCCATGACTGCTTTGTAACTACCAATCTGTACTTCTCAATACCTTCACCTTTCTTCGCCCAGTCCCCCAGCTCCCCTGCCCTCTGGCAAGCACCAGTCTGTTCTCTATATCTCTGAGTCTGTTTCAGTTTTGTTTGTTCACATATATTATTCTTTACTCTATCCACTGAGCAAAACCGGCTAGGGCTGGTATTTGTCTTTCTCTGTCTGATTTATTTTACTTAGCATAATTCCCTCTAGGTCCATCCATGCTGCACAGATGGTAAGATTCCATCCTTTTTTAATGACTGAGTAATATTCCCAGTACCATTTTGTTATAACATTGGTGAAATGACTAGAAACTTAACCCTTGTTTTTAATTAATTAGCCTGTGGTAAAATTTGGTGTACATCATTTCACTTAAAGTTACAGAACTTATTAACGATATTAAGTGAGGACTTACTGTATTATTATTCCCATGCTTCACATGAGAGAAAAGAGAGGTTACAGTAGTAAAATTTGGATCAGGATTCGAACCCAGGACTGCCTAACTTCAGAGCCCTCACAGTGATTGGGGGTGCAGGAGAACCATTTAGCACAGTGCCAGGGATCCAGTAGATGCTCAATAAATGTCATGATTGCTGTAGCAAGTATTAAGATGACTTTTTAAGAACCTTCTGTCTTCCCACCCTTATCCACAGCCGCTCAAGCCTCAATGCCAAGCTCCACGACAACCTTGACCTGAACTGTGACAGCCGGGACTTTGTGGCTGCCATCATCAGTATCCCTACCCCTCCTGCCAACACTCCAGATGAGAGCCAACCTTCCTCCCCTGGTGGCGGTGGCGGGGCCAGCAGCACCCTCAGGAACTCTAGCCTGGGTACCCCTTGCCTCCTCCCTGAGACTGTGAAGATCTCCTCCCTGTGAGGGTTAGGCCCAACCATCCAGAGGGTCCTCTTGATTCTTGGGGACTCCTTTCCAAAGCCATATTTTTGGGGAGACAGACAGGGGCAGGCCTGGGGAAACCCTTCTGCCTCCCACCCCCTATTGAAAACTATGCAATGGAGTTTCATGGAATGGCCTACCTTGTGGGGAATGTAGCCGGGGAATGTAGCCAGGGAATGGGACACCTCCCCCACCCCAGACAGATTTCCTGGTGGGAGCTGAATTGCTAGGCTTCCTCAGGCCCCAGCACACTGGGACCAGACCTTGCCCTCAGCTGGCCTCCCGCATGCTCCTCCCCTTGGGTCCTCAGGCTCCCACCTGACATCTGAGCTGTAGCCTGAGAAGAAGTGAGACTTCCTCTTCTCTCTGTCAGGGGCGGTGGAGGTTTGGGGATTCAGGGAAGAGAACCATTCCCTCTTATCTGGCCTCTAAGAGAGGTCCCCACCCTCCACTAGGCCCAACAACATCTAAATTCCAAAGCTTGGAATGCAACCACAGGCTTCATGGGCTGTGGCCTCAGCAGTGACCTTCTACCCCCAGGCCTTGCCTCGGGGGTCAGGCTGCCTCTCCCAACACACATGGATAGCACAAACACTACCCCCCTTCTCTGGCTGCTGGAAATGGGTCCTTGCAACTCCATCCTCTGCTGGGCCCCCAGCAAACTCTAGCAATAGCAGCTGCTGCTGTGATATTATGCAAAGCCTCTGCCCAGTTTGCTGCATTTACATCTGCCCTAATCAGAGGGGCCACCTCTAACACTCCTCCTTCTCTCCCCTCTGGTTTGCTTCTTTCCTGGGTTGGGCCGGAGTCTGGACTGGCTGAGATAAGCACCTGGCAACCAACAGGGGTTGGGCTGGGTTTGGAGATCATGAGCTGATTCCTTGTACTTGGGCAGGAGTCCAGAAGCGCCAGGGGCTGAGGCCTGGGTTTTTCTTGAACTCTGGGAGTTGTACAAGGCAGGAGGAACTTCTCTCCTCCTCCCCACAATACCTTGTCACGTATTCCTTGCTCTTCTCCCTCTTGGGTCACCTTCCGGAACTCTGTGTTTGCTCTCAGGCTGATTATCTGGCATCATCTCAGGTTCCCTGTCCCCGTGGAGCTGGTGGCTGACAATGATGTAGTTTTCATCAGTCAATAAAACCTGAGAGGAGAGATGAGGATGAACACCTCCTGGCTCAGTGGCTTTGGGGGCTGGGGAGGGCTTGGGGAGTTAAAAGTACTCTGATTTAAATTCCTTTCAACTAGTAGAAGGGCTAGTGTGGGTGAAGGTATGGGAGGTAGATGGTTGGTGATGTGTTCTGAAAGATGAGGATCTAGGAGTAATGAAAAAGTGGAGCTTGAAGAGTTGACTCTAGCCAGTGAGGCAGGCTAGGAGGTCCTGAGATATGCCTCCTTGGACATCATCTGCTCCAGCTTCCTCACTCACAGATGAGGAGACTGAGACCCAGAGCAGCACATGCTTGGTTTGGGGGAGACTTAAACCCTGGTTTCCTGACAGAAAACGGCTCTGAATTGAACCCTGATGAAAAGCATCTCTCAGTGTGGCAAATCCCCCTTCCTTGTGGATGTCCCTACATTTTCTCTTCTGGGCTACTGGGTAGATTAGGTTAGTGTGTGACTGAGCTCTGTGGAGCACTGAGAAGACAGACCCTGGATTCAGGTCAACCTGCATTCCAATCCCTGGGAAAGAGAATGACGTACCTTTTCTTACCCCAGGCTGCTAATCTGTGAAACAGAGATAATCATTTCTTTTGTTTACCAAATATTTATTAACTGGGTATCATGTGCTAGCCCTAGAGCAGTGATGGTGAACCTGTGACATTCCTGTCAGAGGTGACACGCAAACTCAGTTTTTTGGTTGATTTTTCTTTGTTAAATGGCATTTAAATATATAAAATAAATATCAAAAATATAAGTCTTTGTTTTACTATGGTTGCAAATATCAAAACATTTCTATATGTGACACGGCACCAGAGTTAAGTTAGGGTTTTTCAAAATGCTGACAGGCCGAGCTCAAAAGGTTCGCCATCACTGCCCTAGGGGTACAGAAATGGGCAAAGTAGACATCATTTCTGTTCTACAGAAGTGAACGTGGAAGGCAACTAAGCAATTACAATATAGTGCAGGGGAACTAAGATCTATGGATTACAGAAGCATGTAGAGAATCTAACCTGGCCAGTACAGGAAGAATGAGGGTCAGTTAGCCAGGTGAAAGACAAAAGGGTAAAAATGTTTCAGGCAGAGGGAACAGCATGTGCAAAGGCCTGGAGGTTAGAGAGTGAGCTTGGGGCCTTTGGGGAACTCAAATTAGTTGATAGAGCTGGGAAAGAGAGTGTGAGGCTATGATGAGGGTGAGAATGTAGAGGTAAGCCAGATCACAAAAGGCCTTTGAAGCTAGGATACAGATTTTGGACTTCATCCTAAGGATAATGGGGACCTCTAAAGGCTTGCAAACAGAAAGTCATCATGAGGTTTGTGCTTCACAATGATCATTCTGGTTGTGAAGAGTGGATTCTAGAGAAACACTCCTGGAGGGAGGAAGAGCAGTGAGGAGGAGGCTTTTGTAGTGGTCAACACAACTGGCCCAGTAAACATGAGTCCTCTCCCATTAAGTGGTGCCCTGGCCAGGTAATGGCAGTAATAGTTGGACAGTCAAAATTTTTGAGAGGTAGAATTGGTAGGGCTTGGGATTGACAGGCATCTGGGAGTTGAGGAAAAGGCAAGGCTGACTCCTAGGTTTCTGGTTTGGGCAAAGGCTGGAGGTGCCATACATTGTCAAAAGGTAACGTCAAAGCTGTTAGCACATAGTTTCAAGCACATAGTAAGTACTTGGTGATGACTAGCTACACTTTCGTAAGTTCAGTTTTAGATGTGTGGTGCTAGACAAATATCCAGTAGAGAGTGGGATATGTGGGTCATGAAAAGACTCAATGTGATAATGTGCATAGGCATTAAGAGCAGTGCCCTGAACACAATAGGCCCAGTAAACTTGAATCCTCTCCCATTAAGTCTCATGAAAAGAAAACACAATAGTACATTTATTATTGACACCCTTCAGGGAAGACTTCAACTAGGGTTGGCATCTGAAGGAAGTTTAGATGGCACTCAGAAGAGCTTTTTGATGGTCTCTCTTTCAGTCAATCTATTGTATTAGTTGGCTCCTAAGACACAGCAAGCTCCCACCTCTCACAACAGCTTCTTGGTTTATGAACTCAATGGAACCCCACAACTACTCCCTGAGGTAGTCTGGGCAGGCATTATCATTCCCATTTTACACATAGGTAAATCTGAGACACAGTGACTTGCTCAGGGTCCTACAGTTGGTAATGGGCCATCCATGTCTGTAACTGAGGTCTTCTGACTCCAAAGCCTGGGATCCTTTCCTGTGCACCATCATGCTAATTTATTGAGCACTTACTATGTGTCGGAACACTATCAGACCCTTTATGAGTCTGACCCTTAAATTAGAATCATCATTGCCATTTTATAGTGAAGCAGAAATTGAGCTTGGGTGGATGTTAAATGACTTGCCAGAGAGCACACAGACAAGAGGAGAAGGGCTAGATTAGCTTGTAACTCTCCAGCTGCTCAGTAGCAGAGATTTTACCAACCCCATTGTGAGACGCTGGCTAGTGACAGAGATGGATACATAAAGTTATGCTCAAACCAGGTAAATTCAGTTTCAGAAACAAATAAATAAAAGGTGGCTATGCGGCGCCTGCGCACTAGCCACAGGGGCGGGGAGGTCAACGCGGGGGCGACAGTGTGGTAGTGCCAAAGAGGGCGTGTCTGCTTCCCAAACACCGACATTCCCCACGGTGCATGTCTGTCCCCTGGTTGGCTCGTCGGCCCCGAGTGACAGCGCCTCTTAACCAATCACCGCAGTTCTCAGCCCTTTACACGTGAAGCGCCGCCCGCCTGTAAAGGGTGTGGATTTACAGGTGGGTGGGACCGGAACTGACGCTACAAGGGATTGCTAAGCTCCGGGAGTGTTGATATTTTCCTGTCAGTCCAACTGACAGCGGCCAAGTTGGAAGCCTGGAAGGGAGGCGCTTTTGAAAATGTCGTGAGCGGGGCAGGTCAAGGTGTCCTGCCTGTCGCTGTACCGCCGCCTGCGAGTCAAAGCCTCAGAGAAAGAAGTCAAGAGCAGGACGGCGCGGACAGAAGAAAGGCCAGGAGCCGGGGCGCTGACTTTGAGTGAAATCTGAGACGGAGGGCACGGGAGGGCGATCGCTCACCTCTGATTGGCCCTTGGGCGTCAGCGAGGACCCACGCAGCCACTTCGATAGGTTGGTGCCCGCGATTGTTGTGGCGGCGGCGAGGATTTTGCCCACGTACTTCCGAGCCAGAGGCGGGGCTGTGCTCTGGTGCGCTTGCGCGGCGCCCCTGGACCCCACCCGGTAGTTCAAGAACCTGCGAGGGGGCGGGGCGAAGAGGTGCTTGTTTTGGTTCTGTCTCCCTGGAACTGGAAGGCCGGAAAGAGCGTAACAATCAACTAGCCGAACTCCGAGAGTAGGCGACGACACTCGTCGCGCTGCCTTCACCTTCGACTTCACATCCGGGTTCTTCCGTCGCGTGACCTGCGCGTCGCCTACGGCTCTCAAACCGGTGCCTCCTCTTTATCC